TGAGGAGGGGGTGGTCATTCATATCAAAGACAAAATAAAGATGAAAGAGGTTATTCTTAATGAGGCAGTCACTCAGTTGGTTATAGAGCAGGCGTTCAAGGAGTTTGGAGGAAAAGGGAAGCAAGGAGACAGAGCGTAGGTTGTTAAAATTGGTGAGGTCCAAGGAAGGCTTTTTAAGTATGGGGGTCACTAGTGCATGTTTTAGAGAGTTGGAGAAGATGCCAAAATAGAGGGAGAGACTGAAGATGTGAGTAAAAGAGTGTAGGATAGAGCCAGAGGGTGACTGCAGTGTTTGAGAGCGAATAGGGACCAAGGGGACAGGTGTTTAGGTGGGCGTTAGAAAAAAAAACATTTAGCAACCTCATTTGGCAACCTCTAAGGATTGAATAAGAGAACTGTTGAGTGTACCTGTGGACATGGGGTGTTAAGTGTGGGGATATCTGTAGAGTGGAGACTCCATCATGATTTGTATCAATGTTGTTTTTGAAGTGACTGGTGATCTCCTGGGCATTGAGTGAATTAGTGGGTTGCGGTGGTGGAGGATGAAGTAGAGAGTTAAAGGTAGAGAAGAGATGATGGGGACTGGATGAGAAGGTCTTAATGAGAGTGAGAAAATAGGTCTGATTGGTAGTGTGGAGACAAGAATTGTATTTTTGAAGGGCAGTTTTTAAATTGGTTAAAGTCTTTGTGAGACTTTGTCTTATGCCACAGACGCTCAAGAGCGTGTCTGCCTTTTTTGAGACCTCTGGTGTCATTTGTTTGCCAGGGTAAAGAGGTCTGGGCCTTATTCTGTGTGTAGTTAGAGAGGCAAGCTCATCCAGGGCAAAGGGCAGAGATCTATTGTAGACAGAAGTGGCTAGATTGGGCAGGACAGGGGTGAGATTTTGTCATAGAGGTGTTCAGTAGCAGAATAGAGAAGAGAAGGGTTAAAGTAATGAAGGTCAGTATGGGTAAGTTATGCAGTTGGAGGGAGAGGTGGTGGTAGACGGAGAGAGTGAAACTAATAAGGTGCTGATCAGAGAGAAAAGGATTGTTAGAGAGGTTGGAAGGAGTGCATAGGTGGGAGAAATATGAGGTCAAGGGTATTGCCATCAGAATGAGTGGAAGAATGTACTCATTGCTTCAGGTCAAATGAGGGGATTAGACTAAGAAGTTTAGAAGAAGCAGGAGTGTTAATATTAATAGGGATGTTGAAGTCACCGAGAATGATTGTGGGGATTTCAGAAGAGAGAAAGTAAGTTAGCCAGGCAGAGAAGTCATCAATGAAAGTTAACTCTGGTCCGGGGGCTGGTAGATCACAGCAATTATTAAAGATATTTGATAAAATAGACAAATACAATGAACTTCAAACGGTGAGAGGGACAGAGAGGGAGGAGAGTGAAGCTGGACAGAGCTTTGTGGGGATAAGTCTATGGGACTCAAACTTGTAAAGTCAAAAGTACCCATTTTGAAAGCTCATATGCATGCTATTGGCTGTAAAAGGGGTGTGGGGGCTTGGTACTGCCCCCAAGAGACATGGATCAGTGAAAAAAAAAAATCAAAAAGTACCGTTTTAAAGGGAAGTAATTTTTCATTGCTTAAAATTCCTTTAAACCACTTGCCTACTTTCAGTGGGCACTTTAACCCCCTTCCTGACCAGGCCAATTTTCAGCTTTCAGTGCAGTTGCACGTTGAATGACAATTGCGTGGTCATGCAACATGATGATGTGTATGGACACGATACGCGTCAGGGAAGTGCCCTTTACTACTATTATACATGTACCACAAGGCCAGCTGTTTCATGGCGGCCGAGCTACCAATGTAAGTTGTTTTTATATTTACTATTGATGTTACCCCTGATTAAAGACGATATTACACTATTGGAGGCCTTCTCTGCGGGCTCTTTTATTTCCTTGGGAGCCTGTGTTTTTGAAGGTGCTTTGCTGTGGCTGTAAGCTGTGTATAGCAAAAACCCCCTCTGGTGGTTGTGACTGACATCTCTGGATCCTGGATGCTTCTCTCAGATGGATGACACCTAGTGGCTACTACATTGATGACTCCACTTCGTTCCAGTATTACACAACCTGAGTACCAGGAGCAGGTCTTAAATGCTCCATGCGCTATCCCTTTGCGCTATCTCGTTAGTGCAATGTTTGTCTTTTTTCACCACCACAGAAGCCACAAGCCTATGTCATAACTTACACCGAGATTATGTGCACGCATCACCGCTATTATCTCAGCTCATAGAGACTAAACGCACTTTATAACGTCTATATTGGTTTAATTTCATTAGTGTTTAGTACCCTCTAAATTCCTACCAGACCCTTGATCTGAGCACAGGCCTGGCAGGGCAGGAAGGAGGGGGACAATAGAGCGCCCCCCACCTCCCTGCTGCTCACTAGGCCACATGCCCTCAGCATTGGGACAGTGTCCCCATACCGATAGCCCAGTGGTTGCAGGGGTCTGCGGGCAGGGGGGCTTATTAGAATCAGGGGACCCCTTTTAATAAGAGGACACCCTGATGCTGCCCCCTACCCATTCACAAAAGGGTTAAATTTAGAAGAAATAAAGATGCCAGACTTTTCAAAATTCCTTTATTTGAACAAAAAAAAAAACAGTTTTTGACAAATCGTTTAATTGAAAAAAAAAAAAGCCAAAAAAATGGTTCCATCATTGTAATCCATCGTCAGTCACTGTGTCCAGTGTTGTCACAATGATGCCAACTTATTGAAATAAAAAAAAACCTGATGCCCGGTGACCCAGATGCACCCGCCGAGCACTTGCCACAATCTGACATTTGCCGGTCAAATGTAAACAACTGGGTGGAGCTAGAGGTGACCTCACCGCTAGCTCCGCCCAATAGTGCTGTGATTGGCCAAAGCATTACACCTCACCTGTGGTCAGGAGCTTTGCTTTGGCCAATCATGGTTCACACAATGCACTGTGAGAGCATAGTGCATGTAGTGCTCAGCAGACAAACAACCCGCTGAATGCACTTACCATTTGTGTGTATGGCTGATGTTCAAGTCGAACTAAAGTGTAGTTTGTTAATTAAATACCACTTAATTAACAAACTACACTTTATTAGAAGAAACACAACATGCACCACCCTAGCATGTGACCCTCTAACATGTGATTTCTCTTCCTGGTGTTAAACACTGACTGATAAGTAAAGCAGACAGAAAGGTGCTGCATGAACTATAAGGGTATGAAGCTAAATGTTTACAGGAAGTCTCTAGTACTGCTCATAGTGAACAGGAAGTCTTATCTGCAAAGGAGCGTTGGGAGGGGAGTGAACAGTGAGAAGCAGATCAGACAGGGAGCCGGAGCATACTATTGAGGTAAACCATTTCCCATATTTCTATAGCCTCCTTCACCCTAGTTGGGAGGGGCTTAGTGGTTGGCTTTATTTTGGTGCCCAAGCACAAGGCCCTATCCCTGCTCCAGTCCTGCTAGAACACTATCCTGCATGCTGAGGCCGACCTCCCCGCCATCTTGTTCCCTGCTGCTTGCCATAGATCTCCTAATGACATGCCCGGCTATAGATCTTTATAAAGTGGATAGCCCGCAGTAGTCACAAGTGAAAGCACATGCAGCACATCACAGCCGTCTTCCTACAGTCTCTCCTCTGCCCAGGATCATACATACTTACAGGGCTGTGTTCTCTGCAGACATCTCCTACTGGGTACACCTCTCTAGGGAAGCAGAATCATACAGGGATCTCCAGCTTGGCCTAAAAAGTGTTTTGCAATCTGCCCTAGCCACCTCCATTAGTGACATAGCAACTACAGCTGGCTACTCCTGCATACTGGTCCACTTCACCTAACCTCCTGCCCCTGCATGTGTTTACTACATTCTCACAGGTGTGGGATGTTTAGCTTCCACACCCCAGTGTCCCTTCTCCACCTAGCTGACATATGTGAAGCACTACCCCCACAGGGCCTACTTGATAATGCTTGTCGGCAGCGGTTTCCCTGACCTTACAAGCCTCCCAACACCTCTGAAACTCTGTTTCAGACATATTTCAACAGTATAGAATGATAATTCAAAAGACACAATCCTTATTAACACCTCTATATTAGTTTGATTAAAAAGAGTAAACCACAAGAATAATGGGTTTAGGATATACAACCCCAGTTAATACAAAAAAACATAGAACACTGGTAAAGTAGGAATAATCAGTTAGCGATGTTTAACAAATTATACAGTCATGAGTAGTAAGTTTCAACTATTAAACTGCAACCCCAGCAGTAAGAGGGGGAAGAAAAGGCTTCCTGAATTATCAGCTCCATCTAGGCCACTGGTGCTGCAATTATGTATAAGTGTACTCCAACATAAATAGCTATAAGTATATTAATTTGAATAATGATGGCCTTAGAAGAGAGGGAGCCCCTTTAACTAGAGATTGCAACTTGAGTCCTTTAATGTTTAAAGTTCCTGATATGGTGGTTACCGTTGTCTTCTGCTAGGAATGGTGGAGCCCATAAACATTAGTGAATACTGGTAAATCAATCAAGCTAAACAGATATGCTGTGATATTGCTCAAAGCAAAGATCTCCTGATACTGAGGTGTAAAGGTGTCTGTATGCAGTATCTCTAGAGTGATGACTGAAAGAGTTTGGACATCTGCTTGCTCACCAATCCCATGGATAGCGTGGCCTCCTAGAAACAAAAGTTCTTACACAGGCTCTTGGCTGTTTGCAGGGATGTGCAGAGTTTCAGCCTGACAGCATGTCAGTGCAGAGAGCAGAGAGGTCTGTGTGAATGACAGTCCGGATGCAGAGAAGCTGATGTGATCCCAGTGTGGCGATTGCTGCTGAACTGTTGTGCAGAGTCCAGCGGTAGTTGCCAGCAATCTGTCTTTGGAACAGAACGGCAGTCCCCCTGAGTTCAGCTCTGAATACCATGCCAAGAGAAAGAGACAGTCCCTTGCTGTAGAATATATCTGCTCTCTCAGCATCCCTCTCCTTCATCAGCTCCCTTGTGATTGTAGTTCAATCAGCACTCAGGAATACGGTATGTATTGGTTTTGGGAAACGGGTCCCAAGATCCTCTGCTGTCAGAAAAACTGGATCCACTCTGAAAACAGGAAATGATGTATCAGTCACAGTACTGGACACTAGGGGGTAAAGGATTAATCATAGTCTCATCTATAAATGTCCCTGAAAGGCATATTGATTTGGTCAGCTACATATGGACCAGGGGCAGACTGACCATTTGGAAACTCGGGCACTGCCCGAGGGCCTGGGGTGAGTAGGGGGCCCCATGAGATGCCCCTGGTACCTTTTTCATAGGCTTTTTTGAGTTTGGGAAAGGACACAGGGGCCCCATGATCCCCTATTGCCCGGGGGCCCCATGAGTTGTCAGTCCGCCCCTGATATGGATGATGACATCACTTCTGGGAGGGTCTACCTAAAAGGGGCCTAATACCTTGTGTCACTATCTTCTGTACCAAACACTATTCTGGTACAGAGCCGCCTAGTGGCAAAATGGCTAACTGCACCTGAGTACATAGTGTTAAAAATAGAGTTTCATTTTTATTGCTTCCTAAACACCTATCAATACCAGTCCAAAATGTTAAAAGCGCAGATGTACACAAAGGAGTATTAGAGTTAGTTTGTGTCATGATGAGGTGAAAATAATGTTGCCTGAAGAGTTCAGCAGGCATTGATATTCACATTGCAGGGCATTTAATGTTCAGAGCATCAAATGTCATCATTTCCCAGTTTAGCATTGTAAAGAAATCAAAAAGTCTCACAGGACTTGATCACCTGTGCAATGCGTCCAAAATGCTCATTATTGGTATAGACACATTAATGTGCATTAAAGGCTGCTTTAAAATTCAATGTCTGTGTGAAAATAGCCTAAAAAGAAATGCTCTTTTTTATCTATTTTTTTTTTTCAAATTCAGATTATTTAGTTTGCTGAAAACGTGAAAATGTCTTTATACGTGTATTTTATACGCTATATCACAGTGTATTTTTGGACGCTAAAGTAATTAGCAAGCTGTTTTCTATTAAGGAACATGGCCAGAATGACTATACATTAATCAGTGAATAATTCATAGAAGAAAGTGTGCTCTGAAAGAGAATGCACATAGCTATAGATTTCTATTCAAGTTGGCGCTTTAATTAGAATTATTCGAATCATCACTAAAAGAATTTGCTGGCAGATCTGTCTTGTTGATTGCTGCTATTTAAGGGGCAGGAGGAACATTTATAATAGTTAGCAGAACATGTACCTTCAAAGCCACAAATGTGCTCTGAGATGCGTGGTCTTCTTTGGCAAAATCCAAATGGGTATCAGAATTGCACTGGTATAAAAAAAGCTGAAGAAGCTAAAGGTCAATGAATGAAGAGGTTTTTCATTTCCTTGTTGACGGAGAAGAGGTTTTGGTTTATCTTGAGGAAATGTAAAAAAAAAAGAAAATGTATCGATCGCAAACATTATGTAGGCCAATGATGAGGAGATGGCGGGGGGGGGGGGGGGGTGTGCAGAGCAATGTCTGTAAAAGTGCTTACATTTCAATTATGGGAGGGATAAGGTTGTGCTGAGTAAATAGATAACCAGCATTTGAAGCCTTAAAATTTTGTGCACCCATGAAACAGCAACAAACTTCAGTACCCTATTTTTTTAATAGGAGACACTTTAACCTCCTCGACGGTATGATTATTTCCGATTTTTTGTGCTGAAAGCGGTACCATTTTTTTGCATGGAAATATGTAGTTTTTTATTGTAGGCTGTAATTTTTAGGAATAACTCACTGAAATCTGTACGAACAAGAGTCTAGGCACTGTGAGATCTTGACGACTCTGTATTTTGCTACCCTTCTGGTGCTTGATAGTCAGTTTGGGTCTGAAAAAAGGGAACACTGGCTGGTATTCTGAAGACCTTGTCCAACTGTTGCTACTGCATAGGACTTTGCTCAGTTTTTGTTACTTTTGGACTGCTACAGTCTGCCGTAACTTGCTTGTACCTGAGGAGCTCTGCCCTGCTACTACTATTACTGCTAAAGGGACTTTGCTCACTCCTAAACTACTTGTTGCTATTAGAAAAGAGAAGACTGACATCTGTGTCTAGCCAGGACTTCAGCAGTGCTCAACTAAGAGATCAGTTAGATGTTTTCAACTGTAATTAATTATAACTCAGGAGTATCCTACTAAATTCCCCAATCCCTATCTCCAGTTCTATAATAAAACTCCCAAAACAACATCCCCTAGACTGGTCATTGAAGACAATGAGCAAAAGTTTGTGCACTTGGCTATAGAAATTACCTTCTGCCTGGCTGCGGAGCAAAGATAGGGGAGACCCAGGCAAAAATACAAGCGGCTACACACTTTTTTACTAAACGTTTTGATTTCATGGCGTGATGTGATTCATTTTTGGTGGCAGGTTTTCTTTAATGAGACATCAAGGGTCCCAATGTCTCACCTGTCATGCATTTAATCTAATGCAGCCCAGATCATGACAAAAACTGGCATAGGGAAGTAATGTTTTATATGTTGCTTCTGTGTTAGTAACAGGAAGGTTAGTGGATTCCCCCCCTCAACCCAGCAGCACCCATCATGCTTATCCCAGGCCTGCCAATAGGTGAAAGGAGCCTGGGAAACATTGCGGGACATGGATAGGGGGTTACTTCGGTGTGTAAAAGCTTTTACGCAGAGCCGATGGATCACCTCCATCTGACAGCTAACAATCAGGTTGTTCAATTTACACACACTCCTGGTGGCTGCAGCCTCTGGGAGTGTGTACAACCCCCCCCCCCCCCCCCCCCCCAACCGCTGTACTCTCTATGTACTCTCTCCCCACAAATATCTTATTCTCACCTGTTTATGTTCCTGCCAGATTGGCTCTAACCCTTGCGGTTAGGAAACAAAGTGTATCTCACAATTAACCTGACGTTATGGAGAGGAGAGTGTCAAGAAGTAGGAGCAGCCAGCTTGGGAGTGGAACAGTGGTTGCCAGCATGATTCTAGGAAGTAAAAACCATATGAATCATCTTCCCTTAGTCAAGGGCCAAAAAATGCTAGGGGGTGCTTTTCAATGTGAATCAACAAGATAAAGCATGGAGATATAGATGGACGGAGTGAGTTTGCTTTGAATATTAAAAATGAATTAAAGAGAGTTTTCAATTTGTGGTGCTGAGATACAATATATTTCCGCTTTAATGAATTAAACTGGAAATCTGCATGCATGTAAAGATAACACAGAATGTATTAATATATCAGTAAAGCCAACCATAGACTGGTCGAAATTTGCCCGTTTAGCAAGAACTGGCCTAATTTCGATCTATCTATGAGCAGGTTGGTTGCACTGAAGTACAACCAGCCTGTCGTTTTCTTTTTTCCATTGATCGCTACCTATGGCTATAGCCAACAGCAGTGATCATTGTATTCCTACAGCGGGGAAACCTCCTGCTGTCAGGATACAATAGTGTAGAGGGAGGGATTCCCCCATTAATACTGTGTTGATGGGGATATTGAGCAATTTTCTTTCCTTCAACCTGTGCTTGCAGGTAAGAATAAATGCATAATCTATGCTCAGTTTAAGGATTGCAATGGATTGTCATTGATGCTGACCCCGATTCCTTGTGAAGTCTCCAGTCCAGTAGAGCTAGCTGTACAGAAGGAGTGATTTGGATCATCCGCTAGTCACAGGTCTCCCTTGTTTATCTGTGCTGTAAAGAACATTTGTTTAGATGTCTTGATGGTTTAGATTTATTGCCCTCCTAGCTTTTTATATAACCACTGTAAAATTAACACTTGCCCTCTGCCTTATAGCAGAAGTACTGTTACAGGGTGGCAGGGGTGCGCAAAATCATGTGTGTGTGTATATATATATATATATATATATACAGTGGGGATCGAAAGTTTGGACACCCCAGCTAAAAATTTGTATTAATGTGCATAAAGAAGCCAAGGAAAGATGGAAAAACCTCCAAAAGGCATCAAATTACAGATTAGACATTCTTTTAATATGTCAACAAAAGTTAGATTTTATTTCCATCATTTACACTTTCAAAATAACAGAAAACAAAAAAATGGCGTCTGCAAAAGTTTGGGCACCCTGCAGAATTTATAGCATGCACTGCTCCCTTTGCAAAGCTGAGACCTGCCAGTGTCATGGATTGTTCTCAATCATCGTCTGGGAAGACCAGGTGATGTCAATCTCAAAGGTTTTAAATGCCCAGACTCATCTGACCTTGCCCCAACAATCAGCACCATGGGTTCTTCTAAGCAGTTGTCTAGAAAACTGAAACTGAAAATAGTTGACGCTCACAAAGCTGGAGAAGGCTATAATAAGATAGCAAAGCGTTTTCAGATGTCAATATCCTCTGTTCGGAATGTAATTAAGAAATGGCAGTCATCAGGAACAGTGGAAGTTAAAGCAAGATCTGGAAGACCAAGAAAAATATCAGACAGAACAGCTCTCAGGATTGTGAGAAAACAATTCAAAACCCACGTTTGACTGCACGATCCCTCCAGAAAGATCTGGCAGACACTGCAGTTGTGGTACACTATTCCACTATAAAGAGATACTTGTACAAATATGGTCTTCATGGAAGAGTCATCAGAAGAAAACCTCTTCTACGTCCTCACCACAAAAATCATCGTTTGAACTTTGCAAATGAACATATAGACAAGCCTGATGCATTTTGGAAACAAGTTCTGTGGACCGATGAGGTTAAAATTGAACTTTTTGGCCGGAATGAGCAAAGGTACGTTTGGAGAAGAAGGGGCACAGAATTTAATGAAAAGAACCTCTGTCCAACTGTTAAGCATGGGGTTGGATCAATCATGCTTTGGGGTTGTGTTGCAGCCAGTGGCACAGGGAACATCTCACGAGTAGAAGGAAAAATGGATTCAATAAAATTTCAGCTAATTTTGGATGGTAACTTGATGCCATCTGTGAAAAAGCTGAAGTTAAAGAGAGGATGGTTTCTACAAATGGATAATGATCCTAAACACACCTCGAAATCCACAGGGTTTACATCAAGAGGCATAAACTGAAGGTTTTGCCATGGCCTTCACAATCTCCTGACCTCAACATAATTGAAAATCTATGGATAGACCTTAAAAGAGCAGTGCGTGACAGACAGCCCAGAAATCTCAAAGAACTGGAAGACTTTTGTAAGGAAGAATGGGCAAAGATACCTCAAACAAGAATTGAAAGACTCTTGGC